CAATAAGGAATTGCTAGATTTCTTCGGATCGGTATTTACTAGTTTGATAGGCCGTAAGTGGTATAACATGTTTCAATAGGCTCATCATCAGGTACAAATCTCGACTAAAGATTGGCAGTGTTATTATCTTATACAGGGTTGTTCAGAAAAAAGTGTCAATATTCCTACCGAGATAGAGGGTGATGCAGTTTCATTCACGAAATAAAATAAAAGTATCTAAGGAGCGGGTAAAAATACTGAGCTAGGATTTGAGGCGTTTAGTGAGCACACTATCAACAATAATCGCGAGTTTTCCGGACCAAACTAAACCAGTGACGTAGAAAATGGGTACCTGTTCCCCTAATAGGATATATTTCCTACGCCACTTACCTTTGCGGAGAAAAGAAGTGCATTCTACAAAAACTATCCAATTTGCCATAGATTTTGTTTCTTGAGAAATTTTTGTCAGGTCACTCGTTTTGGAGATATTTAAGTTTGAATATCTAAGGTAAAATCCTAAAATATTCTTATGAAATGGTTTAGCCTCCTCTATTCTGGAAACAACGTGAAGCCTGATATTGCAAGAACTATATGACATGTAAAGAAAGCTATTACAACATTAATTGAATAATACGCGTGTCTCATTCTCAATCAGTAGCGCAGAAGCGTACCATTGATTGAACCTTGTCATGTACGCCACTGGTTTTCATGGTATATGCTGAACTTATTTCTCCTGGAATTAACCGGCTTAGTTTATTCTGTATGTCTAAAATTACTACTAGTAATTGTGGAACCAATCAGATTAAGCAGAATTCTTATAAATTTACTTCTGAAATTATCTGAGTTTTATTTTCTCAGAATTCTTTAGCATTTCGGATTAAGTGACCTCAAGAAAGAAGATATCACAAATCGTTAGTAACCTCGGACATGAAGTATTTGGGCGAGGTACAGTGCTGCCATATTAAAAAAGTAAAATTCGCCAGCAATTAGAGTGAAAAATCGACAGACTTAAAAAACAACCAGGAATTTTTTAAACTTTATTTGTAAACGAAGAAATGTTGGTATACAATTAATAATTAAACTGCTTAGTAAATCACAATTCACTATAAATTTCCTGCTACTGCGAAGGCAGTAAAATATTATTTTATTACCAGCCACCTGAGATACAATTTGAATACATTTTTCCTATTGTTATTGTATGATTTTGAACTACTTTTTAATACCCACAACAGAATTATTATTAAACAAAATAATATATTTTTTACCAAAACAAACTTTTATTTTGCAATGAACCGTATTCATAAAGGATATCCTTGTACTTGCAAATTTTGAAGGAAATCCTGCAGATGGTATTTATAATAATTTGAAGCTTTTTGAGTATCAGCATATCCTTCAAAGCAGTGACATAAGTAAAAGGATATTCATCATCTTCATCTTATACTTGGCATAGGAAGCATATCCTTCAGAAATTCTGAGTGTGGTCAGTAGCAGACTCAACTTCGTAACGATAGGTGGTCAAACGATGATGGCGGAAATTGTGGATTTTAGGGATGTTAAAACGTATAAACCTCGTTTACCTTCACTTGGTCGTGACTTCAAAAAATTATATCGGTTCGATGAAGCAAATGTACAATGGCTTGCGGACAGATTTTTAGTTGAGAATGAGGAAACTCGAGGAGGAGCACTTTCATGTATGCATAAAATGAAGATATGCCTACGCTATCTCGGTGACCCTGTATATCAACAAGGTATTGGTCAGGAACTTAGTGTTAGTTAAGCAACGGTATCTCGGACTGTGGATAGAGTTGTGAACAGCATAATTGCATAGTTGAACGAATGGATCAAGTTTCCAACTACCAACCATGAACTGATGGAGGCCAAGCGGATATGTGATTGCGATTTATTGTCCACATATAGGAATCCATAGAGATGAGTATATCAACCGAAACGAGAAACCTACTTTAAATGTACAAGCCAGTTGTGATACCAGAGATGTTCACAGGTGTTGATGTCAGTTGGCCTGGATCAGTGCTGTATTCCAGAATATGGAGAAATGCACAGACTAGATCAAAACTAATAAATAAAGCAAATGTTGTACTACTTGGCGATGACGGTTATGGTATTGAGCTATGCCTTATGACTCCCTTCAGAAATCCTACTCCAGGTGCAGAAATAAATTATAATAAGCTATTAAAACAAGAAAGAGTTATAATTGAACTCTATTTCGGCCAACTGAAACGGTTCCTACAGCATGTTTGCCGCGTAAAGTTGGAAAATGTGCCGAAAATAATTATTGCTTGTCTTCTACTCCATAATGTTGCGAAGAGTTTGGGCGATCCTGACTTTGAGTTATTTGAATAAGACCCAGATGAAGATGAAGGAAAGCATGAGAATGACGAACTTCCTCTCCGCCAACTAGGTCAACAAATAAGAAGAAACTTGAGTATTATATTAAATAGTTTTACAGATTAAAGTGTATTTATAAGTTATAATAAGTTTTATCTTCGTGAACATCGTAAGTTACAGGTGGCTTCTGATGCTGCATCATTTCTAATTTCGTTTTATAATAGTTTTGTTGTAAAACATTTGTTTGGTACGTTGCAGTTCTTTGGTAGTTAACCCTTTGGTTTCCTCAGTTCCGTATTCCTCTGTTGCTAATTTTCTTTTTGGTAGCAATGTCTTCAGAATTGCTGGCGCTGTAAAACTAACTGTTTGCTCACTGCGCTCGGTATATAGTTCACTTCCTTCTTCTTGAACACTACCAACCTGAATGGCACCTCTAATTTTCCCAATTGTAGGATTACAGTCACCTTCCATAGCTTTCAGCAACCAGTTTTTTTTAGATCTGTTTTTTTCTTCAGTCTTGATTTCATGTTGTTGATTTTTTTTAATAAGCCTTTAGTATCTAATGGTTTACCGAATGTTGGTTCGTATTTTTTCAACATCTTCTTCAAGGTATCGTCCTTTCTCATTTTTGTTTTTGGAACTTGTGACTTTTCAAAATACTGGGAGCAATGGCAATTTCATCTGCGATCAACTGCAGGTCGTTGCCATTATTTTACTATAGTTTCTTCATCACTTGAGGATGACATGCTTATTATTTTGATAAAAAACTGTAGCCAGTAAAAATACGGAACGGTCAGTGTAAGCACTGGAGTACAACTGTCAGTGATGCTGAGTGAACGAACTCCCACGTCAACTACAAGCTGGAACAAGTCAGGACATGTCGCTCAAGATACAAATACCAGACAACCTTTTACTTCTTCTTGGATGATATCCTCGCGAGTATAAGGTAATCATTATGAATATGAAAACAAGGATATGCTTATACTTCTACCTTTTTCCCCGAAGCAAGATCTTATACTTTTACCTTATGCTTCCGAGGATATGCTTCTCTTATCTCTTATGAATACGGCTCAATGGGATGATAGTACATAATACTTCTGTAAACTAGTGTAAGTAAATTGATAAGCATCTAATATAGAACTAGAAACTGAAAATAACCCATGTAACAGTTTTGTGATAATCCTAAATACAAACGATCTAATTAAATATTTATTTTTCTCAAAAATAATAAGCGTGTCACTGTTGTGTAGTGATAATATTTTATTTGATACATCAAAGTTCTAGCAGCTGTTTGGCTTAATGAGTCTTTTAGTATGCAATATGCCACTTAATGTTGATTCCTGAGTTCATTCAGTTTTATTTAGATTTATACTACTAAAAGCTCTTTCCACACATGCACCGCTGTGGGGTAAAATAAGTATGACTTAACAAACTTGCCCAATTCGGGAAGCATCTAATAATCGTATCCTCTTTTTAATAGAAATATATATAATCCTTTATAAAGTCTACGTCAAAATTTTTCATCACACTCTCGATATAATGCAATCAAATCCGAAACTACGTGTGGAAGTTATTTTGCTATATTATCAATACTCCCAATAGTAGAAATATTTGATGGTTATAAGAAACCTAATAATTTTAATATTTCTATTTCGCTGGTATTAAAAGGAAACAAGGACAAGGAAAGTACTGAGGTAAATTCCACAACAGAATTACTGGAAAGGTATCACAGACCGTAGTGATGACCAGACCGGTACCGGTTTGGAAATTCAGTAATTGATGGATTTTTTGGTAGCTGAAAGATTGTTAAAAGTACGTAAAATCAATAGAATTTAAAAAATCACCAGATATTGCCATTGTCAAAAAGTTTTTCTCCAATCACCAGATTATTCACAAAATCACCAGATCTGGTGAAATTTCACCAGACCTGGCAACACTGACGATGTATAGAGAAGGCTTTTAACACTATTTGTACTACGTCCCCAAAGAGTGCCGTAGAGCATGGATTTGTTTTCGATCCAGAGGGGGTCACTTTCAACACCTCCCTTAGGTTGGGCTTCATAGCATTTATTTACCATTATTTTTTTCTCCCAATATCATGTCCTCATAAATTTAGTAATTACCACGTAATTTGTATCAAATGTAATTTTTATTGTCGTCGTGTTTCATTCTTAAAAATGATGTATGCTTCTACGCCACTGATTGAGGACACGCATTTTATACAATTAACGTTGTAATAACGTGCCATAGCTTTCTTCACTTACCATACAGTGTTTCCAATATCAAGCTTCACGGTGTTTTCTGGATAGGGGAGGCTAAGCTAAAAATATTTTAGGATTTTGCCTCAAATATCCAAACTTAAATATCTCCAACATCAGTGATCTAACAAAAAATCTTTGAGAGAAAAAATTAATGAAAAATTGAATGATATTCTATAAAATACACTTCTTCTCTTCAAAAAGGCCAGTGACGTAGAAGATATTTCCTACTGGGGGTCCAGGTACCCCAGATTCTATGTCATTGGTTTATTTTTGGGGCGGGAAACTCTATTTACTCATTGATTACGATACGAGGGATGTCTTTTAAGTTTTGCATCTGGAAATAAAACAACACGGTAGGTAGTTTTAAATGACTTTATTGTTTTTCGAAGTATTCTCCACAAAGATTAATACACATCTGCATGCGCTCGAATCAATTTTCGAAGCACTTATTCCACTCGTTTGCTGGCAGATCCAAAATGGCATTTTTGAATGCGTCAACTGCTTCTTCTGGTGACTGGAACCTTCGAACACGCAGTCTGTTTTTAATTTTCGGGAAAGTAATGAAATCGTTAGGACTTAGATCGAAACTATATGGAGGATGGTCCAATAATTCCACGTTTTCTTCCGTTAAATACTGCCCTGTTTTTTTTGGGCTGTGTGCGAGCTTGCATTGTCTTGGTGGAGGATGATTCTTCTTTCGGGCTTGATTTTTCGAAGCTGATGAGTTTTGGCAAACAAATGGAGGTATACCAATCCGCAGCAACAGTTCTTTGCTAATTAAGAGGAATTGTTGCAATATGACCCGCTTTTGACACAAATGTCGCGACCATCTTTTTCGAAACATTTCGAGAACGGATGACTTTTGTTGGCTTTTCTTCATCTAGGAACACCCACACCGCCGACTGTCGTTTATTTTCTGGTTCATAACAATAAATCCACGATTCATTGAAACTGACAAGCGTTTTTTGACACCAATTAACCCTGGCTGCTTTCTGCTCTTCAGTCAACAGGTGGGGTATCCAACGAGAAACTATCTTTCTTACTCCTAATTCTTCATGTAATTTTTTTTGAATTGAGGTCTTTGAGATCTTCAAGGACGCCTCGATCTCGCGATATGTCACATGTCTATCTTCAATGATGGGTTTGCGCACAGCATCGACGTTTTCCTGGGTGACTGCCGTTTTTGGTGCACCCACCCTGGGATCGTCGCTAAGACTCACCCGTCCACGTTCGAATTATCAATACCAACGGGAAATTTTCGACTGATGTGGCGCTTCGTTGCCGAAAACAGACAGTAACTCGGCAAGGCATTCTTGTTGCGATACTTGTCCCTGAAAGTTGTAATAAATTATGGCGCGAAAATGTTCTCGGTTGAGTTCCATGATTCTAATGACTTGGTGGCACTGAAAAATTCACTGTAGTGAGAACGCTGCACGTACTGTTGTGAAACTTTGAATTTAAGTTTACTAAAGAGTGAGGTTAAGATTCAGTACTGACGTTCGATCCTCGCGGCCTACTGTGTTTGTGTTTCTATATGCAAAACTTAAAAGACATCGCTCGTATGCTTTCTGAACATCTAGAATTTTAATCCAATATCTTTACTAGCCCCGTAGATATAGCGTTTTTTCAATTTTATAAATAAAACTTCATCACCCTGTATCTCGGTAGGGCAGCTTCTTTGGACCCATATTTATAGGAACCTTTTCATTATTTTTGAATATACTTCCTACCCTACAAATATCGGCATAATCTGTATAATAACAGAAAATACAGATTCAAAGAAAAATAATTGAGCCCTAACATGTTTATATTAAGGGCCAATTGGTGAAATTTGAATGAGCTTCAAGTTCCAATCAACAAATTTTAGCAACCAATAGCTATGAAATGTTGAAGACAAAATACTGTCAAAGTATGAGATGACAGCTTGTCATTGAAACATCACCAGCTTATTGAATATTAAGAAATTACATATAAGTCAGTCAAAATTTAAAAAATGTTGGATTTTTGAATAAAATTCATGTTTTAATTACTACTGTTGATTTTTTATTCATGTTTATATTATTTTCTTCAATTAATATGCGATACTGGGCGTTTTTTCCTATAAACCTCTTGCAGTTAGCCATTAAGCACCTACTTGATGACAGGCTCTACCAAAAGATATTGCTCGTTTCCAAACATTCATTCATTTACTTGCCGTTCATCAGAACCATTATGGCACCTTAGATTGATATTCCCACAAAACCATTCAGGTTTTTTGATATCCATAATCCATAAAGATGAATATTTTTCGTTGTTCAGGAACTGAACAAACATCCACACTATATTCACAGCGATTAAGAAATCCCCAAATATATGCCTTAAAGCTACCAGCAAACCTAAAACCTACAAAAAAAACTACAAATTTGCCATATTTTTCTTTTTTCACGAGTAGACATTCTAGGTTATATTTATATTAGACATTATTTGAATACAGCTGATTATTGCATTTCAAGGAGTGACACATGTGTGGGATCTGTCAACTCTTGGTACCAGTCACAAAACATATACTCTGAAGGTTTCATTCCATGCTATTCAATGACAACATGGTGACTTGTGTGGTTGTCTGCGGCCATTTTGCGAGGGTGCGACAGGGTTGCCAGATTGTGCATTAATATCCCGTTTCACCCTCCTGGTCCCAGTGGAGTAAGTTCCGCCAACTGTTGAAATATACTCTACTATGCTTTATAAGACTATTCGTGACATTTTTCCCAAAATCATTGCACAACACTTGAAAAAATGCAAATGAAAATCTAAAATTATTTCCATGACGCCGCAAAATAGCTCCGTCGGTACCTTGGGTTATACATCTTGACAGTAGGGATGTTCGATACGATCCTATATTTAGAAGTATCAATACATTTCACGAGTATCGTCATCTTTCGATCCGAAACTGTGTCAGAAAGAGTGATTGAAATTTGGCTGCGACATTACCCTGCCAAATCAGACATAACTTTCATCATTTTCAAAGAAATTGTACAAAATCTTCAAATTTGTGAAGTTAGCGAGTTTCACTTCATACGTTGTTACCAGACATGCCCAAATCATCAGTTGCTGCCGTGATATTCATTCCGACCACTGCATCCCCACGGCTAGGCGACCTGTATGTTAAATTTGTATTGATAGGGCAGCGGGTTATGCTATAAATCATATGTCACAGTATTTGTGCACTGATTGCAACGGTTAGATGATACCAAAAATATTTTCATAAATAGGAGATCTTTCCCATTCCGGATCAAACAATCTACCAAAGATGTTTATAATCATGATACCTAGTAAATTTTCACGAAAAAAATTCAAAACCAGCAAATGTAAAAGATTCATTTCGCACCCTCCACCACGGGACGTGATCGTCGTTAGACTTGGCAACCCTGCGAGTTACATAAAAGACATTATTTGTGAAGCATTATTCATAATTTTTTATCTATGTCCATAGTAATTGCATTATGCATCAGGGAGATGTAGGGATTGACACGTCTTACACATATTATCTGTGTTTTAGGATGGAGAGGACATAATGTTTTTATTGCTTTGAAGCCATTACTACTATTATGACGTAAAGGAAGGTGGGGAATTGGATGGAATGTATTTTATATTCTATTTTCTTGCAAAATACAGACAAATACACACTATTCAACAGGTATGTAATGATAACTGTCAGTATATTGAAGTTGGTAAATTCGAGATTGCCATGAATTAACAAACGTCCAAATCTACTGCCAAATTTAACAGCTAGAAAATCGACCTATTATTTGCGGCATTCCCATTCGTTGAGGGGGATAACGGATTGTTAACTGTAAACCTATTACATATATCAAAATACATGAAAGCTGTCCTGTTTTTTCTGTACAAAAGCATCATGTTGGAATCAAAAAGTGGTCTTGTTTATAATACAGTCGAATTTTCATGATTTTATTCAATATTCCAATAGAAATCACTAATATTCAGAGACCTTTGACAGCTTCTGTCAAATTGCATTCGATAAGGTATTTTCCCATTGGTCCATAATATTAATGTTTGTGAAATCGGCCCTTGTAAAATATATCACGACATATGTATTCTGGATTGTCTAAGGATCTTACGATATGCTCTATTAATGAGCAGGAGTTATTTAAAACTGTATAAAACTGCTCTAGTTTTGTTCATGCAACTTTCATTGTCCATTTTAGCCAGTTTCACACTGTAAGTTAACTCATGACAAGCAATAACAAGAAAAGCTTTGCAGAACATATTTTTCAGTGTACGATCTGGTTCAGAAAGCACGTATGTAAATCTAGACTACGAAATATAATACATGAAAGCATGCTGGCTGAATGTGTATGTACCCTACATTTGCTAAAAGCAGGACTCCTATTGTATGGAAATGAGAAGCCGCGTCGTATATAAAAAAGTAAAATATCCTTTCGAGAGGATCCTAAAAACTTATTAAACATAAACCTCAATCCAAGCGTCTTTATTAGGTAATGCAACCTCCATACATATTACACAATTCTTCGGTTTTCACTTCCCCCAAAAATAACCTCTGATTTTAGATATTTCTCATGTTGCTCATTACACTGGACAACAAATTTTAGTTTTTTAATTGTATCTTGTGGGAAAAGTGCACTTCTTTGTTAATTTTGGGGCGCTGAATCCAAAAATGACAATGAAATAAAAAAATTAGTTGCAGTTTAGAAAAAAAAACTTTTTATTTTTAAGGATATATTAAAAAAAGTAACAAGATTCATATACTTATAAGAATCACTATATGCGCTGCCTTTTTGCTGTTCTTTTATGGATCGTTTCTGGAGCATTTCTACCAAGAGTCCAACAGTAGCCTGCAAGCATGGAAGGATTCCACTTTCCCTGGTACCTTTTTTCCATTGTTAAAATATCCTGATGAAAACGTTCGCCGTGCTCATCACTTACGGCTCTGCAATTGTCAGGAAAAAAGTCCAGGTGTGAGTGTAGGAAATGTACCTTAAGAGACATATTACAGCCCATCTTTTGATACGATGACAGCATATTTTTGACAAGGGTTTTATAGTTGTCAGCTTTTCTATTTCCCAAGAAATTAGTGACCACCAGACGGAAATCATTCCAAGCAGTTTTTTCAATACCTGTTAAAGTGTTTACAAACTGTGTATCTTTCAAAATATTTCGAATCTGTGGCCCAACAAAAATACCTTCTTTAACCTTTGCCTCACTTAGTCTTGGAAATTTCTGGCGCAGGTATTGAAAAGCTGACCCATCCCTATCTAATGCCTTGACAAAGTTTTTCATTAGGCCCAACTTGATATGCAGTGGTGGTAATAAATTTTTTTTCGAATCTACTAATGGCATATGCTGTACATTTTTTTGACCTGGCTCTAGGAATTGACGAACAGGCCAGTTTTGTTTGGTGTAATGAAGTGCCTTTGCCCGACTGTCCCATTCACACAAAAAACAGCAAAACTTTGTGTAGCCTAGCTGCAGCCCAAGTAAAAGTGCAACAACTTTCAAATCGCCACAAATATGCCATTGGTGCTCATCGTATTTTATGCATCTCAATAGGTACTTCATATTGTCATATGATTCTTTCATGTGAACTGCATACCCTACAGGAAGAGATGGTAAAATATTCCCAATATGCAATAACACTGCCTTTAAACTCAATGTTGAACTGTCTATAAACAATCTCCATTCTTCAGGGTTATAGTTTATATTTAAAGCCGCCAGTAAGCCGTTAATGTTACTGCAGAAAACCAAGTAATTCTCCATATT